AGCAGGAATTGTGCTTAAAGCTGTCAATACAGAGGTCTAGCAGCATTACACTAAAAAAAATATGATTCTGAAGGTAATCTTTTCTATCTCTAAACTTTCATAACAGGTCTTAAAGTAATAAACATCTCATCTAGCTGTAACTCCAGCTTTGCTTCTCTTTCAATCTGCAAACACCTTGTGACATGCCAAGCAAGCTTGTGACAATGCTACAGGCTTAATAACAGTTTACTGTATTTCAAGAGTAGTAGTAAAATTAGTTGATTTTGTGCCTACCTCTAAAATACAGTAAAAGAACACAATGTGTTGCTTAGCCCTCATGAGAAATACAGCTTAGCCAAAAAAACCAAACAAACAAAACAACCAACAAACCAACACACATCAACAGTAAACTCAAAACAAAACAGAACAAAAAAATACAGTCTTCCAGAAGGCTAATGAAAATATTCTGAAAACATAAGTCATGCCTGTCCCATGAAACCCAGGAGAAACATTATCACTGACAATCTATTTGACTTATAGCTCCCCGAGCCAAAAATCCTCAGCTTCTACTCTACCATGGCCCAAACTGCAGTCCCAAGGCAGGTTTGTCATATATACCAAGGCTGTCTACTTTCCAGGCTACAACCCATACAGTGAATTTTTCTTTCCTCCAAGTACCTTGAAGCAAAACACAACAAAAGTTCTGTTAAATTGATACACTGACCAGAAGTTAAATTAACAGAAATTACTACCATCTTGCTTTCAGTTAGTGCAAAGCAAGTGTGAGGCTATGCTGTTCTAACTTTAAATTTACCCCATACTAAGAAATAGCCAACTACAAGGTATCACACACTGCAGACAAATGAACTTGGAAACTTGCTACAGAGAACAGCAGAGCTTTCCGACACATCTGAATGATGGAAAGAGTTCAGGATACTTATTGTTGTGCCAAAAAAATCTTCATGATTTCCAAGTAAAACCTCAAGTTCCCCTCATATTAGATAGACACCCCATATGCACAGTAACAATTTAGTTAAAAAATAAAAAAACAGCCCACAATAAGCTGGCAGAGTCCTTAATATGGCCACAAAGCAATCGAAATTGAGGCCACTCAAATACCTGTTTCCAACTGAAAAGAAAGGAAGACATGTAGAAAGAGAGCACAATAAAACAAGTAAAAGAAGAAAATTAGCAGATATCTTGGGATTTTATTCCATTCTTAAGGCTTTAATGATTATTAGTCTATTTTCTAACTTTCATCAACCAATCTTAAATTCAACACTTCAAATATTTCAGTCACATAAAGCAAAATATAGACTCAAAGCTTCATTTATCAGTACACTAACAGGGTTTGACAAGGTTATACAAACCAAGGAAAATTAGAAATTAAGGACAGTTTTCAGAACTGAAGTCTTTAAAAACAGCTTTATTCAAATATTCACATACTAGATAAAAAATAATTGCAAAATTATTAAACTGTTTCTCTTTACTTACATTGAAACTACCACTTCACCTGAAAACAGCCTTCTTGAATTCACCATTACAAACAATAGGCGAGAAAAGGCAAAGTAGAACAAAAGGACAATGACCAGACTTCTACCTCCCACACTCAAGCCAGCTTCCTGCACATGAATGAAATTACATCTAACTCCAAATCAACTCTACCGATAAAAATACTGCAAAGGACTTGCCCGTATTACCTGGAGCCTTTTAGTATAAAAGAAAACTTAGTAGCAGAGGTTATTTGCTTTATTTTACACCCCACACAACATAAATAGTTCAAGATTGAATTAATTTCTAATCTTCATATGTAAATAGCTTTGAAAGCAGCTCAAGCAGAATGGAACACCAGAAATAAGTCTAAATACAAACTATGGATAGTTTATTAATATCAGCTTCAGCAAAACTTTGATTTCACATACAAAAAACTGAGGTCTCAGGTAGATCTGAAGTGATCCCTAGATGTGCATCACCTGCAGTTAAGCTCACATCCACTTCACATCTCAATCCCATTAAGCTTATCCTTCAGTACCTATAAATACTGCTAGTCATGCTGTCCTGTGACTGCTGATGCTGGCAACTTGTCTTTGGTCAAGGTGCCAAAGGATGGATAAATTAAAAAACAAACAAAACTCTACTCAAACATACCTAATATACCAATTACCCAACAAGCACTGCTACACTGGCTAAAGATACAGTTCTTTTTCTTGTCCTCACAAATTAACCATCAAGCACTTGGGACTGCATTGTACTGCATCTGCGCTTTCAATCATATATACCTCCTGTATCTTCAGAGATAAAAAATATAGCACAGACAACTGGAAAATGTCTTAAAATACTGAAAGCCTTCAAATCTTACTGTTGCCCAAATTACCATAAAATCATAATACAGAGTGGAAAAAGGCTTTTTAATTAACAAATTAGAACATTAAAGTCACACAGTGACGCATGCATAATATTAATAGCATGTTAACTTTTAGAATATATAAACCAAATAAAAGGGAATTCAATGCAAATGTCATTTGATAGTCTGAGTTTTCATTCAGCAACCCACTAATCTCTGAAATAGAATGCTGCAGTACTTAGAGTTTCAGAGAACAGTTAAGTACATAATTAGTTCAGAGATACACCAAAGTTATCTTAACCAAAACCAAAACAACCAAGTCTTGCCTACCTAGCTGCTCAATGATGCTGGAAACTGTCCCAAAGAGCTTCAGCTCGACATCATCAGGCAGATTTACTGTTAAATCTTCAACAGGAGGCAGTTCCTGAAAATTTTGAGTCAATGTTCAGAATATAAACTCACCACACTGACATTCATACTTTTGTTGCTACATAAATGTTACAGTCAGGAAAATCTCCTAGCATTTTAGAGGATTTAATAAACAATCTAGTCTGATTTGTCTCTTCCAGAAAAATTCTAAATGAACTCATCTTGGGGGCATGTCACTTTCAAAGTCATTTTTCTATTGAGATGCTACTCTACATATTTCCATTGCAAATAAAGTAGAAGTAAACTTTATTCAACTGGAGAAAACCAACTATAGGAATTTAGTTCATTTTTTGAATGTTCAAGTTAGGAAAGTTCAACGCAGAACTTAATAATTAAATACACAGTTATTTAAAAAAAAAATCAAACAAAAATTGTAATATTTTTCAATACATGGCAGAAAATAACACATAGCAGGAAATAAAACAGTACTAAATACACCAGATATGTATAATATGATCTGACAAAATGGTGTTTCTCTATTTATCATAAAATCATAGAATGGTAAGGGTTAGAAGGGATCTTAAGATCATCAGGTTCCAACCTCCCTTCTACGAACAGCAACACCTCACACTAGAACAGGCTGCACAAAGTCTCATCCAACCTGGCCTTTAACACCTCCAGGGAGGAGGCACCAAAAACCTCCCTAGGCAACCTATTCCAGCACCTTACTACCCTCAAGGTGAATAAATTCTTCTGATGTCTAACCTAAATCTCCCCTCTTTCAGTTTAAAACCATTACCCCTTGTCCTGTCACTATCCCCTCTGGTGAAAAGCCCTTCCCCAGCTTTCCTGTAGCCCCTTCAGGTATTGGAAGGCCGCTACAAGGTCTCCCTGGAGCCTTCTCTTCTCCAGGCTGAGAATTTATGCTATGACTCAGACTATTATAGATGATGTAAAGGTCACAACAACCTATATAAAGAAAACTATTTTCAGCTAAAACTTGTATTTGGCATAAGAGGATAACTCTAGAGAACACTCCTAAAAAAAGCACCAAACTTCATATATACAAATGAGTAATGCACAAACAACAATCACATTCATTTTTTCTTCAAATGTAAGCATCAAAATCAGCTATCAAAGTCCTTTCAAAACCACTCTATGATTCTATGATTTGTTTCTCATTAGAGAAAGCATTATTTTATGAAGTGGGAGACCTACAGAATAACAGATACACATATACTTTTAATGTAAAGTGACACTACAAAGTTATATTATTCTTTTATTTGTAACCTTTTACAAATGATGCATAACTAATCATCCATTAGCATAATACTAGAACTCATTTCTTTAAACCTCGAAAAATGAGGAAAAATGGGAGTAATAATGGGTATGTTATTTGAGAAACAAAAAACCCCAGCATCTTGATGCAAATTAAGGTACTGATCTGCAATACATAAAACAGTGCTGTAACTAAAATTGCTGAATAGAACAAATACAACCCACTTCTACAATCACTCTAAATAATTTTCTTTAAGGCAGTACAAGTAATGCAATCTGAACCTCTGCAAGGCTTAATACAACATTCAAAATTTTTACCTCAAAGCTAAGCTTATTTGAAATATGTCTGCAAGACATAATAGAACTTCAAGATTCTCACATAGAGAGAAGGTGATAAAAGCCTGCAACACACAACTTAGAAAAATATACAAAAATATCCAGAAACTTATTTTCATTAATTACAACTGTGACTTTATACAAATATGATCCCAAAATGAGCTGTGAATCTCACATCAGAGGGGTCTTACAATACTGAAAAATTTGACAAGTTATTAACTGCTATATCTGAACTAGTGTAAAAATACACAATCAATCACCAGGTGTGGTGATGAGTTAATATGTTTTAAGTTAAAATATTTAGAACTGAGTTCCTATAAAAAGGTTTAAAGAGATAACACATTGCACTTACATCAATAGGCAACTCATCTTTTGTTTTAATACAGTAAGATCGATTATCCTTCTCATTTGGATGATCATCTTCATCAGATAATGTTGAAGGGGAAGACGAAGAGGAGGATGTAGTTGATGAACCATCCGAATCTGTATCACTGAATAAAACAAATATGAGAGTTAAAATACACACTTTTACATTACAGATAAAAGTGGTTAGATTATACATCACTCAAATACCTTTGTTTACCAGATATGTTTTTCTGAGCTGTACACATTTGTATACAAAAGAGTGGCAAACTTTCCTCAACATACAAAGCACTGGACAAGATTATAAAAAAAAATAAAATAAAATGCCAGAAGAGCAGCAGCTTTGGCAGCTCAGAGGAAATGCTAACATCTACAATGGCTCATTTGGGTCCCCAATGTTTCACTGCTGAATGACACATCTGGCATATCACCTCTAAGTTCACCTAGTACAGTTTCTCCTGTCTACCCCACACAAAAATCCAGGACCAGCGTAACTCCCTCTGTCAGACATTCACAAAAGCTACAGTTTGGGACCTACACTTCTTTGGTTTGGGAGTGAAATGAGACATTGGAGTCACAGGATGATCGCTTCAGTGTAATTCCTAGATAAATACAGCCAAATTAGGACCATAACATCTAAGCATACTTACACTCCCAATCAATGCATCTTGCACTATGAAGGTACAAAAACCTAATCTATTTTGTGCAGATAAAAGAAACCAAAAGAAACCAGTTTCATAATTCATGGCATGACTGAATTCCCCTAGTACATATTCACACGGATTACTAATTTAACTTTTCTCATTCACAAATGGACAAGAGATGTCCTTATTCACATTAACATGGTTCCTCTCAACAAAAACCTAAGTTCTTCAAGAGCTGGTGGAAGAAACAAACATAGAATAACTAATGCTAGTGACTGAAAAACACACATTACAAACCTTACACAAAAATACTCAGACATGAAAACATTTCTAAATTTGCATATATCCTTTCTTACCTGATCTAGCCATTAACAAAGCACCACTTAGGAAAAAAGTGATAAATAAAATACTAGAAATGCTCCCTTCCAGATTCTTTGGTATTACACTGCCTTCTTCACAAGCAAATGGAAGGCTTTCAATTATCTGCTTTCCAACAAATAGGAAAGACAATATATAAGAGCAACTCTCCAAGCCAACCTTTTGAAAAAGATATTAACTTCTTGGAACAAAATCAACATAGCAGAAAGACAAAATCAGTCAGACCAGGGATCAGTGGAGAGAGGGGGAAAATAAACAAGGGAAAAAAACGTTTGAGATATGCATAGTCTGTTAAGTAAATTAAAGCTGTGAAAATGTTGTCTTTAATACTCATCTGAACATGAGCATAACAGATTTTGGAAGGAAAAAAGACTACAAGCAAAGCTCCTGCCATAGGGGGGAACTTCACTCTCCATCTCTTCATATTCTAGAAAAAAATTTAACTGAGCAAATAAAGTATTTCCAAAGTCAAGCTTTAACCCATTAACTGTTACAGATGCTCAGTATCTTCTTTTTAAGAGGAGATCCTTAGACTTCATTTCAGCCTCCACTAGTCAGAAGGAGAACATATCCATCTTGCTGCCAGGGTTCAAAGAGTACAAAACTCTCTGAAACTGACATGGCGTGCAGGCTTCTATGACTGAAACCGAGTCCACATCTAACCAAAGTTACTTTTCACCAACTGTACTTGGGCATAAAAGCACAGATGCAAGTAGAAAAGAGAAGATCAGGGTGAGAATAACGTTTTCCACTGAGATGCCAACATCAGCACATGAGTGAAGATCTGTGGACTCTTTACCTTGAATCCCATATTCAGATTTTTCCAGCAATAACACTGTGGGTGTCTTGTCACAAATTACATGACCTTGTGACGACCACGTCAAACAAGACATAGAAATGGCCATGGTGCCACGGCCAACCCTGACGCTCTCCATGCTGCCACTACCAAACTCATCTTTTCATGAAAACCTATGCGCCTAAAGCCATTGTTTTGAAAGCTTATTCAACAATACAAATGAAATATAACTGGAAATGCCATCATTCACAGGAAAGAGAAAGCTATCGAAGCACTGGGGCAGGGAGAAGGGGGCGAACTCGCACACCTCGTCCGCAGAGCGCGGAGTCACCAGCGGCCTGCGCCGCCGAACACATG